TCCGCTGCTTTGGCACTATTTTTCCATCTTGCCGTGACTTCCACGAGAGAAGCAGCAGTCGCATCTGGCTGACCAGCCAGCTCCCCTCTGTATAAATTCGTCCCCTAGAACCAAGCTAGGAGAAGGGTGTTCACGTTTTTAAAGTCCTGTGAATCAGTCAGAAAAAACTACACCAGCACCTCATAGAAACCCCAGCTCCAGGCTTTGGAGGCAGCGCTCTGTTTCCCCAGCCTTAAAACCACTGTAAACTCGTGAGATGGTTGTGAGAAAACACAATGGATTACACGAACTATTTTTAAAAGGTATTTCACAACTTCATTACAAATGAAGCAAGTGTGTTTTGTCTGCTAACTCCTGCAAATATTTAACCGTGCAGGGGCTCTTCCCCTGTGCCCGTCCCTGACGTGACAAACAGAGCCGCCGCGCTACCTACGTCCCCTCTCTTGACGGGGACCAGCTCCGTGTCCAGCCGTTTCCTCTCCAGTCGCCAACGCTCCCCCTAAAGCTGCAGCACCGGGCGCCTGAGATAAGGGTTTCTCAGCAAGCTTGAAACGCCCAGCGCTGCGCAGTCTCACCGGGATTCTCCAGTTCTGCCCTGTCCCCCTTTCCCCCCGTTCCCCCAGTATAGTGACAGCTCACAGAAAGAAGGGGAAAGCTGGAATACGGATGGAGTCTTTTCCACGCCGCATCTTCAAACTGCCCCAGGAGAGTTCATTATTTCGGGTGTTTTTACAGAGGACAAGGCACAAGGCTGCTCCTGTACCGGGAATCTGCGTGTGGGTCACACCCAGCTTCGCTCAGGAGACGTCCCAGGCCTTGGAGCTGCTTACGGAGCGCCGCTCCTGCTCCCCCGGAACCTCTGAGACTGAAATTCTGGAGAACGGCCTGTCCCGACGCAGAGGCAAGGCTCGCCATCGCTGCCGGGTCAGACCTGCCTGCAGGGCCACAGCTGACAGGACGCGCGGCACAGACCGGGTTCGGGCGGCAGCTGCCCGGGCTACGCGCGCGCTAACGGGGTCAACGTTCCGTTTTGGACAGAAGCTTAGTGACTGTTCTGGCTACCCAAAACCCAAAATCCCTGCAGTGTTATGGAAAATTATGGTGAAGTAATGATGTGGGGAGGGACAGGGAAAGATTATCCAAATTGGTTGTATATCGGTGCAAGGTATCAGCAAAGTCTCTGTCCTGTGCTGCATGTCACAGTGAGGAACCTCTTCTCCAGCACTGCCTTGAGGTTTTGCAACAGATCACTTGTTTGTCTCCTTTAAAACAACAAAAAAAGTGTATTCTCAATTCAGGCAATGAAACAGTTGTCAATCACGAGCCAATCTGACAATCCATTTACCTACTGTCCTGTGAGTTACCACCTCCCGCGCAAAAATGAAACAGAAATGTCCCGACTAGGAGGTACTGAACTGACACCTCGTCAGGAAATGTCAAACTCGGTAAGAAAAGACACCACCAAAAAAGCAACCAACCCCCCCAACCACCACTGTGCTCAGAAAACACAGATAAGACAACGTTTAAAATAGCTAGAGAGTCTTTTGGAAAGGAAGTCATTTATAAATGGAATTCCAAGGAGTTAATTGGCCTTATCGGAACCGAAGTGCTCTGCAGGACAGCAAGGGGCGAGGGGAGGACGTGAAGAACAGCACGCCCCAGGACTGGGCACAGCTGCTCCGCCACGGTCAGACAAGTTAGGCTCACACTTCGATAACACGTGTTTGTCTCTCACTTGCATTCTTTACACTGGATTTGGAACAGCTTTTCCCAGTAAGGATTTTGCCGTATACTCCACAGATCCAGAAGCTTTTTTAGGCACTGAGAATCTCGACCAGAGTTCACATGTTTGGGAACAGGACACCACAGAACTATTTCTGCAGTGATTTAGGCTACTACGTAAAAACCCAATAATAATAACAGACTAGGAGTAGCAAGGCACGTGCCTTCTCTGTCTTGGGGGATGTATCTGTTTTCCGGCTTTTTTAATCATCCAGTTTCAAGCCTGTGATGTCTTCAGCCCTTTCTCTGGTTCAAACAGCTCAGCTCCCTTCCTGCTGTCTCAAACATCAAGTTCAAACTGGCCCAAGTCACCAGCCTGCGCGTGGATTGCCCGTGCAGCCCTTGCTGCCAGCGCAGCGGCATGGCCTGAGGTCTCCAGCACATTTCCCCACGGGAAGAGGGGCAGTGGTGTTCCCTGCCTCCCATGAGACAGGCTGAGGGCCAAGCAGATGCTGCAAAGGTCTATAAAGTGATTAAATCTCAGCAATTTCAGCAAGAGCTCGGGTGTCTGCTTTGAGGATCTGCACGAACGGCCTAAGATCTCACACAAAGTCTGAGGCAGACAGGAGCTTCGACTTCCCAAGTCCCGGGCTACGGCCCTTGCCACCAAGGCACACCCCTCCAATGCCCAGCCTGTCGCTGAGCCCTACAGCAGCACCGTTCCAAAGCAGAACTGCTGCCAAGACTCTGATTTCCAAGCTGTGACAAACAGCCAGGTTTCTTCCTGGAAACACAGTCAGACACGCTGCTCGCTGCTTAATGCGGCCTCTGACCACCACAGAACCTCAAAATACAACAGTGACTAAAGCACGAGCATGCCAGTCTGCCTCCTGCGGCGTTCACGTGGAACGGTTCCCCCCCAGCCCACAGACCCACAAAGGCAACCTGCTGCGTGGCCGGGCATTGACTGTGAGAGCTGAGACCCAGAGACGCAGCAGATGCGCGTGGTATCGGTTCCACCGCCAACCGAAGCCGGTGACTACCTGTAGCGACTGACACCAGGTTGGGCAACAGTGAGTAATCAGCCCCAGCAGATGAGGGAAAACAGATGGCAGAAGCCTGGTAGAAATGCGCAGAACCACAGGTTGCTGTGGGACTGCCCGGAGATCACACGCCCAGGAAAAGGCAGAGATGTAAAAGCTCGCAGGGACTTGGACTCACAAAGTAAACACAAATGGTTAGTCTCAAATTGAGACAGAGTCTGGTTTTTTTAGTCATTGTTACTAAAATATTTGCCACGGAGAATAAGCAATGGTGGCTGCTGCTGCTGGGGACAGTCAGTGATCTACGTCACGGAGTTTTTCCTGGCGTCCATCTCGTCAGCCCTCCTGAGCGCCCTGCCGCAGGCCACTCCGGGCCTGCTGGACGTGCCGGGGATCACCTTCCTCGCGATGCACCTACCTGCCACAGCAGACAGCGCCAGTGCCCGTACCACGCTCTGAAAGGGCGCACGTACCCCCTTGAGGGCGTCTGGATTCTCTCCTGCTTCCAGGAGACTAAAGTGTGTGTAACCACCTCACCCCCTCCCTCCCCAAGTGAAGCTGCTAACAGCGAAATAACATTATCGTCATATTTCAACCTCACTCCTGTAGGGAAGTGGGTTGGCTTCTTGATTCCTTGATGAAAACGCCATGGGACGAAGCCCGAGGTGTTTATTGTCTGATGGGGAGGGCGCAGGAGGAGCAGCCCGTACCTCTATTTGGTTCTGCTGCGGCGTGTTTACATCCCATAGTGTTGGCACGTGGTTCAGGCTATCGGCAGGCAAGAAGTCCTTCGGATCCGCAATGTCAGAGAGGGAATCCGCAGGGGACGAGAAGAGGGAGTTGTTGTTGGAGAGCTCATCGAGGTATGAAGAATCCTGAAACAGAGAAACGACCACAGTGAGAGGAGGCAGGATGAGAAGACCAGAGAGCTCCTTTCTCACACCTACTCATCCAGGAAGTTTTAATTCCTTGCTTTTAATCGAGCGGCCCCGTTACTTCACGCTCCACAAAACTTAAGACATTAACTCGTAAACGAAAACATGCTCTAAGCAGCTGTTTTACAATCTCGGCCTCTTGAAGAAGCAGGAAAAGCACTGACTGTACAGAAGAGCCGGCACACGTTCAGAACTAACTCAGAACTGTGCGCCGCTCTACGTACAGAGGGATGGAAGAGAGAGGAGCATTCAACACGACGTCAGCCACGTCAGCTTCGATTAAAAAGCCTGCGGAGGGGTGAAAAGCCCTCAGCCTCACACCCGAAGGACTCAGGTATTTCATTCACGCCCAGAAGCCCAGACTACCAGCTACACCCGATGACATCACAGCTGTTTATTCCCAATTTATACCACAGCAATACCTGGAGGCTTTGGAAAAAATTAAGTCTCCTCGTGCCAGGTTCTGCGCAAATGAGGCTGCCAGGCGCAGGGGTGCAGGAGCACCGGTGTCAGCTGGATTTGCCTCTAGATAAATCCTGGCGAATGTACCCATCCTTCTCCCAAGGGCATGCCTCAGTCCGGACAAGAAGAGAATGTGCTTCAGTGATGAGGATCAGGCTCTGCCCTTGCTCTCTTTCTGGTGCCTGTCCTGAGACGGCCCACAATTGTTTTATTTTGTGCCAACCCGGGATGATGTTGGTTTGAGTCACACAGACTCTAGCTCAGGAGGAGCCTTCAACCCCCTCCCTGTCCGGCTTTTCAGATTTCAGGTGGCAAGAACCAATAGCTGAAAGGCACTTCTTGCTCTACGTCCTTAGCTCTGGCACCGATCACTGCGCCTTCCCTGACCCCACCACATCACCTCAGCTCTCCCTCCACATCAAATACCACTTCCAAACTTTTTCAAAGCAGAAAAACTCTGTCTGCTGTTTACTGAAGAGCAACACACTTCCAAACACCGAGCTCCAGGGCACAGGTCCTGCTGGAGACAAGCCGCTGCCCCAGCGGGACAGGCAGTGACCAACCGGTCTGCCTTGGTGCCCCGCAGGACTCTGCCAACACCAGGCAGTTCTGCGGCTCTTCGCCAGGGCCGGGTTTGCCAGCACACCGCCAGCTCCAGCTCTCTGCTAGGCCAGATAACCAAACGGGGCGATAATGCCGCAGCCCGGCTGCCGGGAGAGCCACAGGGTCTGATACGAGGAGAAACCGCGGTTCACTTCCAGTGAAGGGCCGATTTCCTCCTACGAGGCAGAAAGGCGGCCAAAGATTTTTCAAAGTCCCTTCGCCGCGCCTGACAGAAAACCCTGAGCAGCCGAGCCTGCTCGTGCTGCGCCGCAGGGCTTCAGGCCAAGGGCCGGGGCAGGCTCCCCCCCAGCTGCCACCAAAAGTTACGGGTTTGCAGCGCTTAAAGCCATCGGGACACGATCCCTTCACCTTCTTCCCAGCCATGTCCCCTTTGGCACCCCAGAGGACAGTCTCTGCTCCGAAGCCACAAGCGCGGGCGCTGGCAGCTGTGCAAGAGCACCGAGGCACCAAAGCGAAGGCGATCGGGAGCAGACCGCGGGCCCGGTGTGCGCAGCCTGGATCCTTCAAACACCAACCGGGGGGACCCAAAGGCCCGACGAGAAAGGGCTGGTCGCCAGGCTGTGCTACCAGGGTGTGCGGGACACCCCCCTGCTAGCGCCGGGTCCCCGTGCCGATGTGCGACACCGCTGCTGGCTGCCCAACAGCTCTCCCTCTTGATATTCCCGTGGGTATTTTGGGATTACCCAGAAACCGAGGCTCCTCAAAGGCTGAGGCAGGCACCTAGATTTATCCTCTCAGAATTGTGATCTCTGGAAATGGGACTCTGTTTCACAAGAAAGCACACCCCCCTGCTAGCGCCGGGTCCCCGTGCCGATGTGCGACACCGCTGCTGGCTGCCCAACAGCTCTCCCTCTTGATATTCCCGTGGCTATTTTGGGATTACCCAGAAACCGAGGCTCCTCAAAGGCTGAGGCAGGCACCTAGATTTATCCTCTCAGAATTGTGATCTCTGGAAATGGGACTCTGTTTCACAAGAAAGCAGGAAAACACTTGGGTAAATACGGCCTTTCTTGGCCAGAGCAAGTGTCTTGTGCATCCTGCAGCAACCTGCCTGTCTGCCTCCCACAGCCTCAAGCTCCTGATCCAGAGCACTGTATGGGCAGCACACGTGGGACTCAAGCTCACATTGTTCAAGCTACTGAGACTTTTTTCCATTAACTCCCACCTCCCAAGGTCTGTAGCCTCTCTCAACCTTCCAGTCCTCTGCAGAGACCTGATTGCCTCAAACCACTGCGCTGCCGAAACACGCCGTCATCTCCCCTTGCTGTCCTCCCCACCCTCCTGCCTCTTCCTCTCATGAACGAGCGCTTCAGGAGCTCACAGCCCCCAGCCTGTCACCACGATCTCCCGTGCCACCACACCTCTTCAGATCCAGCCGGGGCACGGGGAAGGCAGAGCACCGACAGCCGGGCTTGCAGCGGCTTAGGAAGAGAGTTCAACAACCACCTAATCCTACTCTTTCATAGCACGCCTGTTATAAAACCGTTTAGACTGATGATGTAGCAACTCCTCCAGCCATCCCCAGAAAGGAGGAAGAGGGAGATGGACAGGCAGACGGACTGCGCCTTCGCCCGTCGGCGCCGGTACTGATACACTGGGCTCAGGCAGCAGCTAGGGGACCCAAAGCAGCTGGTAACTCCACTTCGGGTGCCTGACAGTCCAGATATCACCCAGGGGATAAATACAGACCGACATCAAAATGCTGATAAGATCTGCTTTGAAGAAGTCACTTCCAAAGCCCAGCGCTAGAAACAACAACTGTCATCTCCTTGGAGCACCCGCCACAACGTGGTGACACAACCAGCTCCCGAGATGGACCCGGAGCTACAACTCTCCCACTCGAAATCCGTGACTGCTTTGCCCTGGGCAGTGCACAACAGCTGCTTAAGTGGCTGCTCCCGAGACACCCACGTGCTGCTTGTCACGGGCGCCCGAGGAGGTCCTGAACACAAACCTAAACCCAGCACAGCCAGGGCCTGGCCCCCTCGCGGGGCGCATGGTGTTCAGCCGGTGGGAGGAAGAGCAGAGGCCTGCTCCCGACGAGCCCGAGAGCCCAGCTCACGTGAGGAGGCGCGAGAACTAGTTCCTATTCATAACGAGCAAGAGGCATCCTCGTCCTTGATTTTAAATCTCAAAGATGAAAGGCATTTATTATCATCTGTGTGCTGAGAGGAGAAGCATGTTGTTCCTCTCAAGGACAGGCGAGCCTGAGGGATACCGCGCTACAGACGAGAAAGAGCTCAACCAAAACGCTGGAGCTGCAAGGCAAACCCAGCTCTGTTTAGCCAGGGGGGTTTTTGGTTTGTTTGGTTGGTTTTTTTTTCCCTTTTCATTATGAAAAACTTTGTTTGAAAGCCTTTTGGAGGCTGCAGAGCAGATTAGAGTGGCCATTGCACGTCAGGGTCCCGAAGAAAGGAAAGTGCTGGGCTGGAAGAGCAGCGAGACATGTGAACGCACCGTAACACAACCCCAGAGACCCCGGCAAGTGCCCCCCACCTTCCCGAGCCCAGCCCCTTCCATCCCCCAGCAGAGGCTCCAGCCCCACCACTCCCTCTGCTCGGGGCACTGGACTGAAACGGGGAAGAGGAATTCAGCCTCCAAGTCAGAGGGAGGATATTAGTGCTGGAAACGACTCCAGTGAGCCCATCCTCTTGCAGGACTGGGGGGCATTAGTCACAAACTTGCAGCGTCCCATTTGTCCTCCCGAATTACGTTACCCAAGGAGCACTAAAACTAGTAACCTGCTGGATCCCGCCCTGAAGAGCTCAGTGCAGCCCGGGGAAATCGGCCGTGCCTATAACCAAACGCAGCGTCGTTGTTCAATACGAGGCCACACCGACAGCTACGACTTGCGTCACTACAAACTGTGCCTTGACTAATTACTCCACTGGTTTATACGGAGCAAACGGGAGCAGCTACCCCAGTGTCCTCAAGGGAAAGGAAGGATCATCACCGAAACCACCAGCTCACGAAACGCCAGAGCGAGGCAAAGGACTCCACGGGACAGAGCCACTGTCAGAGCCACTGACGCTCTGACACCAGCTACAGCTCGGCCCAGCCAGCAGAGACCCGCGGCCAAAAGGTGCCGAGCCCCAACACAGAGCGGAGCAGCTGAAAGCACGATGACGGCGTCAGGGGTAGGAGAGATGGCCCAAGAAACCACGGAGAGAGAGGAGGCTCGAGGTGCAGCCAGCGCTGGAAAGCGGCGGTGAGCCGAGCAGAGGGACTGCAAAGCCAGTGCCCCGCTGGGCTCGGGGGAATCGCTCCGGAGAGGTCACCCATCTCAGTCGTCGGGATGCGAAGCGAGTTATTTTGTCCCTGTTTAAGACTGATTAATAAGAACTTAAACTGTTTCTGATTGGAAGTAGGAGTTTTTTACAGTAATAGCACTTATTTTATGTTTCAGGGGAAGCTGAATTTCTGCAACAGGTGGAAGTTATCCCGCAGGGGAGGACCTTTCATTCCAAATGCCGTTCTGCAACCGTTCCCTCCTAATTCCTGGAATTGGGCCGTTTGATTGGGGGGGTTGTTGGTTTTTTTCAGACTTGGGGATTTTTTTCCTCCCTCCAATTTAGCATAGCCTGCAACCAAAATCCAGGCAGCACACTGCAGATCGGAGAATTCTACCGCAGGGGGCTGGCAGACCTGCTTTGCCTCCGTCTCTTCAGCCTCCTTCAAACGCTGCTCTGCACCGGGACAGCGAACACCCCGGTGAAGGGCCAGCTCAAAGCTCTCAACCCTGAGCGCTGCATCTCACCGCCCAGACTTCTCCCAGTTTCTCCCATCACAGAAGGACAGCCACAGAGACCCTGCAGGGAACACACGGCTCAGAACGAACGGCTCGAGCCAGAGGTGAAGCTCGCAGGTGCCCGCCATGAAACGGCAAAAGGGCGATCCCCGCACGACCGCTCGCTGATAACGCGGAACCTCACGAGGGGCCAGGAGCCGGCCGGCGCAGAGGCCGTGCGCAGCTGCTGGCTGGGGTCTCGCCAGCGTGTTCTTCTGTCACACTGAAGTTGAAATAACGTCACCACACCGGAGCAGGAGGCAGAGGATCACAAACCATCGTCTGCTCTTCCCATCAGAAGATGCTCCAGCGAGTAACTTGGTAAACCAGGGCTAACCATTTGCTGGACTTCTGAGCTGCGAGTGCAACTGAATCGCCAGAGTGATGGCACACAATATGCCTGTCGTTATCCCAAACCAGAAAAGTTATCAAAACAAAGGATTAACTCCCTAGAAAGGACCAGAAAACAATCAGGGTAACACAACCCAAACACTTCTTTCTCCCAGGCACTGGAAACAGCTCAGTTCCTTCAGTCAAAACAAAGTCTTTGATAAAAATAATGAAAGAACAGGTGAAGTTTAAAAACAGGAGGAGGATGCATCCTGAAAATATTTTGGCCATCAAGCCATCGGTATAAATGGTGTATTTGCTCACAATCCAGACACAGGGGAAACAAACGCTCCTTCTGCGCAGCAACTACCGATCGCTCCACTGCTTGGCACGCAGCTGACAGGGGGTTTAAAAACCCCAAACATGTTCACCCGCAGGCACACACAAACAGACCTACACAAACAAGGCTACGCTGCCAGACAAGGAAGATTTGGTGTCTTGAAAATCACAGATTAAGCAAATTACGTTTCAGGAAAGCCAGAACCAAGAATTACAGCTGCAATGCAGGCAGTTGATCACTGAAAGAAAATCTTTCAGCTGCCAAAATCCAAAGTCTTTCTAAACACGGGGCAATAAACTTGTAGCCTTAAGGGTTCAGCGCTCTGGCTGGCTGGTGTTTCCTTTGCTTTTCTGTACCCAGCATCTGGTTTAAAAATAAAACTCCTGAAAGCCATTACAACTACATAAACATGCCGAGCAATTCTCTACACAGCTCCTTTTCCTCTAAGTTTCGCAGTCAGTGACCAAGTTCTACCCGACAGGAACAGTCTCCAAGTAACGCACGTTTCGGCAAAACACAAATCACATCTTCAGCCCAGCAAACCTGCTCCCACTGCCTCGCCCCGAGAGTCGTCACCCCTCAACCTCTGCTGCTGTTGCGGGAATTAGGGGACACGCAGAAGCCCAGGGCAGCAGCTGGCGCTGGCGACCCTCGCAAAGGAACACACGAGGAATCACAAGGAGAAGGAAAAAAAAAAAAAAAAAAAGAAAAATCAGGCATTACCTTGTGGAGAGATGGGAACTTTAGCCAGAACTGCATTTGGGACATTTTAAAACAGCATTCAGTTTGCTGTCAGCAGAGCAGGACGTGGACGAAGCAGTAAGGCGAGATTTTTCAGTATGTAATGGAGAAAGGTCTTCATTCATGACCACGGCAGCAGCAACAGCCGGGAAGAGAGCGCATCAAGGGCTTTTAAAAATTAACATGCAGAAGAAAGGAGTGAAAATGGAGGAAAAAAGGACAGCCATCCAGCGCGCCTGTCCTGAGCCCCTGGAAATTTGCATATAGTGTTTAGTCACGACGGAGAGCGCTCGCACTTCCTCCCAGCACACGGGCTGACTTTCAGGAAATGATGCCTGCTTGGTAAGTCAGTGAAATTACTGGCAGCGCGAGGAGAATTACTGTATGTGGTGTAACCCAACCACAGAGGCACTGTAAACAAAGCTGCGCTCCGCAGCGGCGCGGCCGGGCGCGGGGCAGGGAGGTCTGGGCAGGAGCCCGGCTCCCCTTGGCTCGGCCCCCCG